AAAAAAAATCTACAGTATGTTTAGTTCTTACTATAATCTTGGATTCTATAATGCTAATCAAATTACATTTGATGTCCATGAATAAAATTTCATAATGAAAACGTTTATTAGTGAGGAACTTTTTTACGTGGTGGAAGGTTTCTTAGACGAAAATGTTCATTGTTTCTCTTTTGAAATATTAACAGTATTGTTTATTTTATTACATGCAGCATGCATACAGACTTATTTGTGCAGTGAAATGTTTTATACTGGTCCTAATTTATAAATTAGATTAACTCTCATGATTTCTATAAATATATTTTGAAAAAAATATATATATAGCAAAAATATTGTGAAAGTCCTGGGGGGAAAAGTAGCATAAAATTAACACGATATTAGTCAATCTAAAAATTAACATCACAGATCCCCAATTTTTTCTTTTCTGAATAATATAAGATGATTTTAACCATTCTGCTTAACTTCAAGAAAAATGTTATTACTTTTAAATGATTTTATTCCTTTATCGCTAAATTTTGAATGCCAAAAAAAAGAGAATTTTTTTGAATTGCAGAAAAGTAAAAAAAAAGTTGACTTTGCGTATTAATTTGATTTTTTTAAATGTCACAAATTTTAATGTGACATGATGAAACAAGATGTGTTTGTGAAACACTGATGCCCCCATATGGCAGCTAATGGCGAGGATTGAATGTTCTCAACTGCATGTCAAACTCCAAAGGTCGAAACTGTTGAAATACAAATGACGGCCTTGACGCATGGAATACACCTGTTGAATATGAAAGCCCTAGTCCTAACTGTTCAAAAGACATGGCCAATAGTAAGGATTTAAATCTCTAAGACCAAGATCAAAAGGTAAAAGAAATATTTATACCCTTTGAAAGGTCTTGTCACAAGGGATAGACATATCAAATATGAAAGACCTACTTCCACTCAATCAAAAGTGATGGGCAAGTTAAAGTTTTAGCGGACAAACAGACAGATGGACAGACGAGCACGATAAAAACTATATACCCCCGAAACTTCGTTTACAGGGCATAAAAAGACGGTATTTGTTCCTATCATTCATTTGGATAAAATATTATTGGAAAAACTTGAACAAGAGGCCCATGGGCCACATCGCTCACCTGAGCACTAAGGGTAGGAAAAAGTAGAAAATGGCTTTTAAATCCAAAAGTAATCCCATGACCAATCATGGATTTGCTATTTTTTAGAATTGATTTTTAAAGAATTTTCATATATATATCTTTAAAAACTTACGTCGGTTATTTTTGCCCCGCCCTACCCCTGGGGGTCATGATTTGAACAAATTTGAATCTACACTACTTGAGCATGCTTCCATACATATATATGATGAATTATGGCTTTGTCATTCTTAAGAAGAAGATTTTGAAAGAATTTTTCTATATATTTCTATGTAAAACTTAGGTCGGCCATTTTGGTCCCGCCCTACCCCCTGGGGTCATGATTTGAACAAATTTGAATCTACACCACCTGAGCAAACTTGCTTCCATATAAATATGATGAATTATGTCTTTTTCATTCTTGAGAAGAAGATTTTTAATGAATTTTCCTATATATTTCTATGAAAAACTTAGGTCGGCCATTTTGGCCCCGCCCTACCCCCGGGGGTCATGATTTGAACAAACTTGAATCTACACTACCTGTAGATGTTTCCCTATAAGTGTCATCTTTCCTGGCACAGTGGTTCCTGAGAAGAAGATTTTTAAAATATGCAACCAATTTTAATTAATTCCCAATTATCTCCCCTTGAATGAGGGCGTGGCACTTCATTTGAACAAACTTGGATCCCCTTCACCCAAGGATACTTTGTAGCAAGTTTGGTTGAAATTGGCCCAGCGTTTCTTGAGAAGAAGTCGAAAATGTGAAAAGTTTACAGACAGACAGACGGACAGACAGACAGACAGACGCCGGACAAAATGTGATCAGAAAAGCTCACTTGAGCTTTCAGCTCAGGTGAGCTGAAAACTGATTTATATGTTTGACGTTATTACAATGCAGAAAGGTAATATCAACTGCTTACAATTTCGTGATATTTTACAAATTAATTATTTGCATCATTTTTCTTAAGCCCTTCCTAAGTTTGGTCTTTAGGTTTCGATCCTCTGGTTAAAAGATTAAGAAGGGAAAAAATTAAGAGTGAATCAATATCAACACTTACTATTTAATGGTTGGTAACACATAACTCTAGACTCATAGCTACAGCTGGTGGACACGGAATTCGCACACCTTAGCAAGGAATCTTCATTTCCGCTACATTCCATGATATATAAGAACCATTTGTCTTTTCTCCGTGATACAGTTGTCGGCAGTGAAAATGAAAAACCTCTACAAAAATCAACCGCTTATTTTATACAGAAGAAATTATTTTTTCAAATTTACATCGACGAAATTACTTAATTAATGCAATTAATTTTGACTTATATGAAATTCCCAAAATGTAGATATTTCTAGAATCTAAGAAAAGAATTTCCAGTAGGGTTACTTTAAATAAAAATAATCATAATGTACAATATCAACAATATGAAGCGGCAATTGGTTTACTAACATAAATTTGATTTTGCGCATTTCTAAATGTGCTAGATACATGTATAAATCTATCCATTTGTAAAGACAATCATTTATTAACTTGATTAAGAAGATATTGATAAACAAGAAGCCCAGGGGCCACAGCGCTCACCTGAGCACATCGGCTAGGAAAAAGGACTTATCAAATCAGAACTGACAGTTTACTGAGGTGGCGGGGGGGGGCTTAAAATTTAAATGGTCGGCCATTTTTGCCCCACCCTAGCCCCGGGGGTCATGATTTGAACAAACTTGAATCTACACTACCTGTAGATGTTTCTACATGAGTACCATCTTTCCTGGCTCAGTGGTTCTGGAGAAGACGATTTTTAAAGATTTTTTTCTATATATTCCTATGTAAAAATTTGGTCGGCCATTTTGGCCCCACCCTAGCCCCAGGGGTCATGATTTGAACAAAATTGAATCTACACTACCTGAAGATGATTCCACATGAGTTTCATCTTTCCTGGCCCTGTGGTTCTTGAGAAGAAGATCTTTAAAGATTTTTCCTATATATTCCTATGTAAAACTTTGGTCGGCCATTTAGGCCCCACCCTAGCCCCAGGGGTCATGATTTGAATAAATTGAATCTACACTACCTGAGGATGATTCCACATGAGTTTCATCTCTATTGGCCAAGTGGTTCTTGAGAAGAATTTTTTTTTAAAATGCCATTTTTCTCTAATTCATAATTATCTTCCCTTGGAAAAGGGCATGGCGTTTCATTTGAACAAACATGAATCCCCTTTACCAAGGATACTTTGTAGCAAGTTTGGTTGAAATTGGCCCAGTGGTTCTTGAGAAGAAGATGAAAATGTGAAAAGTTAAAGACAACGACGACGACAGGCAACGGACAAATTTTGATCAGAAAAGCTCACTTGAGCCTTCGACTCAGGTGAGCTTAAAAAATATACAGAACCTCATGGGAAATATTTTTTAAAAATTAAGATAAAATTTAAGAGTTTAAAATCTCCATTTCACAATTAAAAGTTACCTCAAGTATCCTAGACTCCTACATGCTACACGAGCGTCATTATTGTCCCAGGAAGAAGAACACACCGGTCTCCATCGGCTATTTACCAAAACCTCCACTCGCCCCTCATCTGGTGAGCTTCCATTGACAAGCCTAACTGTACCTGAGAAACATATACACATTAAAACAAGTTTAAAAGATTTACAAAGAGGAATCAGAATTCTGGAGTAAATAAATCTCACTACTCACTATTCAAGGTTTTGTAACACAGAACTCCAGCCTCAGAGCTACAACTGGTGGTTATAGATCTTGCACACTTTAACAAGGAATCTTCATTTCCGTTACAATACATTTGATTCAAGAACCAATTTTCTGTCTTCTGATCTCCAATTGTCGGTAATGAAACCGAAAAACCTCTACAAAAAAGTCTTTTTTTTCAAATACTGTATGCAAGCAGGTTAGATAACTTTGTATGAAATGACAGATAATGAATCATCAAACTATCTCGAGCTGGAGGTTACATGCAGAATTACTACTGGTACACGAACTTCTTTAGTTTTTAAAAATTCAAAAAACGCAAACGATATGTTATTCTAATTGACGTGAAATATACATGGAAATTATTCAAGCTCAAAAGTACATAAAACATTACAAAATAGGAGCACAGCATACAAGGACCTCCAAAACATCAAATGTGGAATCAGGTGCCATGGAGGAATGAGCAACTCCTCCTGTTAACCGGTCACACCCTCCGTGTGCTCTTTATAATGATCGGGAAATAACGGGAAAATCTGTTGACAATTCCATGTGTAAATAATGGTCTAATAATTGGTATGAAAAACACCAGTCAGTATTTGACTCAATGATAAATGAAACGTACGTTATGGTGAGTTGGTTTCCTGTTGTATCATCGTTCAAAGTAATTAACCCCAGCCACTTTACCGTTCAGGTACTATATACTAATGATCAATTGTTAATCGGGGACAGTTATATTCTTGAGCATAGATCCATATTGATAAGTTTATACAATTCTGAGTAAATTCTGATTACATATGAAATATATATTATTACTAATTTAAATTATCAACATTGAAAATTATAATTATATAATATATAGGTGATATTTTCATACATTATAGTTCCGCCAAAAATAGTCCCTTCTAGATGAAAACATGGAGGTAAGGAACAGTATTTAAGATCAAAAGTTTTTTAAACAATACAAAACAGGAGCAGAGCTAACAAGGCACCTCCGAAACATCAGAGGAAGCATCGGGTGCCATGGAGGAGTGGGCATCCCCTGCTGACCGGTCACAACCGCCGTTTGCTCCATGTCATGATCAAAAACTAACGGAAAGATCTGTCGCCAATTCAGAGTATGAAAAATGGACTTACAATTAGTTCGAAATATGTCAGTCTGCATTTGACTCAATTGTAAATTGTATTTGCTGACAATCTCATTGTATTGACCATTAAACTTACGAAATGATGATTTTATACGAGACTGTTAATATTCTTGTTTCATCAACTCGTTTGTCAATAATTTACCTCGTTTTAGGAATTTTAAATACGTAAAAATTTGTTTTCAAATTTATATCAAAGTGTCAAAGATATATTTATTCATTTAATTTTGATTTATATGAAATCCCAAAATGTACTTTTTTCTAGAATCTGTGGAAAGAATTTCCAGTAAGGTTACTTGAAATGATTATAATCAGTGGCGGATTTAAGGGGGGGAAAAAATTGTCAAAGTTAGCATAACACATAGTTTTGTTGAGAAAATGTTTAAAATGTCTACTCGGTAGACCTCATTTTTACCCTACAAAACCTCTAGAATCCATGAGCCATGAATCCAGACCCCCTGCCGAAATCTTGCGCCCCCCTAACTTCAATTCCTGGATCCGCCCCTGATAATTAATATGTACAATATTTTTCGGAAATTAATTTATAACTGGCGTAGTTTTGATTTTGTGCATTTTGAAATGTGCTTGATATACACCTTTCTATTGTAAGGAAATATAGCTATGATGTTGATTTAAAATATTAAATTAGAAATTATGAAACCTCATGTAAAATATGAGGTTATATATATTTTAAACTTCGATGTTAATATTTATATTTCACAATCAAAAATTACCCCAAATATCCTAGACTCCTACATGCTACGCGAGCGTCATTTTTGTCCCAGGAAGAAGAACACACCGGTCTCCATCGGCTATTCACCAAAACCTCCACTCGCCCCTCATCTGGAGAGCTTCCATTGACAAGTCTAACTGTACCTGATATACATATACACATTAAAACAAGTTAAAAAGATTTACAAAGAGGAATTCAGAATTCTGGAGTGAATAAATCTCACTACTCACTATTCAAGGTTTGGTAACACAGAACTCCAGCCTCATAGCTACAGCTGGCGGTTATAGATCTTGCACACTTTAACAAGGAATCTTCATTTCCGTTACAATACATTTGATTCAAGAACCAATTTTCTGTCTTCTTATCTCCGATTGTCGGTAATGAAACCGAAAAACCTCTACAAAAAGTAGTAATTATGCTACCTTTTGTAAGCAAGCAGGTTAGATAACTTCGAATGAAATGACAGATACATGTAATGCATCATCAAACTATCCGATGCTGGAGGTTACATGCAGAATCAGTATATGAACTTCTCCTTTAGTTTAAAAAAAAACCGTAAATGGTATGTTATCCTAATTGAAGGGAGATATGTGGAGAAAATAAGCTCAAAAGTCCATAAAACAATACAAATTAGGAGCAGACCAAACACGGACCTCCAAAACATCATATGTGGGATCAGGTGTCATGGAGGAGTGAGCATCCCCTGCCGACTGGTCACACTCGCCGTGTGCTTTTTGTCATGATCGGGAAATAACAGGAAAACCCGTCGACAATTCCATTTGTAAATATGGCCTAATAATTGTTATGAAAACATCAGTCATCATTTGACTCAATGATAAATGAAACGTAAGTTATTGTGAGTTGGTTTCCTGTTGTATCATCGTTCAAAGTCATTAACCTCAGACTATTTAAAGTATAGACAGTATATATTCTATTGCTAAATTCTTAAGGACATACACAATGTACCTTACCTACTGATAATTTTCAAGATATTCTAAATGTAAACTTATAATACCATTGCATGTTCTTTGACAAAAAATCAGCATGCCTTACAAGGGGTTTTGAAGAGATATCAAATTTTGAAAATTTTTGCATTATTCAAAGAAAAATGTACAAAAATTACAAAACATAAACTCCAGAATTTTTTTTTCAAAAATCATTTAAAAGAGATGTACAAATCCACATATAGACATTAAAAATATTGCACACAGGTCCTTCATTTTGTGGAACTCTTCAACTCCAGGGAAGAACCCAATAAAGTTCAAAGTACGTTGCGTATGACCTTAAGCATGGAGCCATATTTGTACCTTGATTCAATTCTGAGTAAATTTTTTTCAACAAATGTTAAATATATAGTATTTAAAAATACATGTATCTAAATAACATTGAATATTATAATGATATAATATATAGGGGATTTTCATACATCATAGTTCCGCCAAAAATATTCCCTTCTAGAGAAAACGTATGTGGATAATGAACAGTATTCAAGATGGAAAATCTGTAAAACAATACAAAACAGGAGCAGAGCAAACACTGACCTACAAAACATCAGAGGTAGGATCGGGTGTCATGGAGGAGTGAGCATCCCCTGCCGACCAGTCACATTCGCCGTGTGCTCCTTGTCATGATCGGGAAATAACGGAAAAATGCATCGTCAATTCAGTTTATAAATAATATACTAACAATTTGTATGAAAAACGTCAGTCGACATTTGACTCATTGAAAAATTGTATTTGGTGACAAGGTCATTGTATCGACCATAGAACTTACGAAATGATTTCAAACTCACTCTAGCATTTCAATTCAAAGTTGTACAATTATGAGGAAGGAAGAAAAATATCATCTTCTGAATCCCTTGATCTAAATACTGTATGAAAAAAATCTATAACTAAATTCATTTTTGAATATTTTTTTAAGAAACAAGACAATTTAACCTCTTAATGACGACCAAATTATTTAAAGGCAGAGATTTTTTACCGGGTGGTAAATTTCAGGTGAGGGAGGCGCTTATATTGTACAGGTGTGAATGCCTTGGGGCTAGCAGTCTACCTGTGGTCATCTGTCTCCTAATCTCTGTAAACAGGAAGTGATTTAATACACAGTGAAATACCCAAAGTGTCAAACTTTACCTGTGTTGGGGATTTTGAGACAATTTTAAAATAAGTAGTAAAAGGTTTTTTTTTCAATTTTATTGATTTATTTTTGACTTTTTGAAAACACCCCTAACCATTTTAAAAAATATGATATAATTATACTATAAATTCAAATTTAAAACAAAGATTATTTTAGATTTGAGTGTATGTGGTTATTAAAAAAAACAACTCCTGTAACAACCCAATTTGACTTTTAAAATTTATTTATCTATTATTCCCTCTATTAATCAATAAAAAAGAGAGTCATGTTAACTACATTTCATAAAAAAATATCTAGATTTCTCCCAACCTTAATAAAGCTTTTTCATCATGAAACATGCTATTAAAAAGACTGCTTGTAAATTCTTATCTGATTAAAAAGGGAAAATATATGTGACACATGATTAGAGACATTATTTTAAAATTTAATAACTTCACTTAGTGCTGCTCTGAACTTTATCAATACCATTTCAACTTGAGGTTTACCATAATGATTTTGCATATTAAAATTAATATCGAAATTTCATTTGAACAAAAAATTTTATGAACCAAAGGTTAATTTTTAAAAAAAAATGTATATCATATCATAATCCTTTCAAATAATAAAGGTATATTTAATTCATATATTATCAATCTAAAAATGTTCACAGCAATGCAGTTTCTGTATACAATGTTCAGTAAACATCAAAGGATCAAAAGTTAATTTGAAGTTCCCACGAGTCCTAAACAAGGTGTACATGGTATACACAGAAACCAGTAAGTAAATGTCAATCAAGTTCAAGCATCCAATGATGGACCTTCATGCACTTGATTGACAGGGCTACCCAGACCAGGTATTTTTGAAGGCGGTGCTTAAAATCTCTGCCTTTAAGGAATAATTTATAGCACATACGTTTTTGTTAAAAGAATCAAAATTTACCCCATAAACCCTAGACTTCTACATGCAACAGTAGCATCACTACTGCCCCATCCATTGTTGCAAACACGTCGCCATCGATTATTCACCAAAACATCAACTCGCCCCTCATCTGGAGAGCTACCATTTACAATTCTAGTTTTATCTGTAATGTAAATTAAACCCATCTTTCATGTTTTTTGGTTGAATCTAAGTTTGTAATTACAGGTAATTTGGATTTTCTCCCTTTACAAAATTAAAGTTTATTTCTTATCATTTTATATTGTGTTTGATAAAGACATAAATAATTGTAAATACATGTAACACTTTTCAGAATATTTCAAATTATTAAACTTACAAAAGTGGCATCACACGACAAACTGTTTTACATAGGTTTTATTGAAGGAAGATAAGATCAGGGATCAGGTAATCGTTATCAGTAACCGTAATCAAGTTTAATCGATTACAGCTTGTCAAGTAATCATGATTAATCAGAAAAAGTACGAGGGTTGTCCTAAAAAGTCGTAGACAGGGAAAACAGTTTTGTTTCTCTTTGCTTTATTTAATTTCTTTCCTTGTCATAGCAAAGAGTAACATTTCATGATCATGCACTTCAAGTTCCATGATGATATCACATCTTATAAGAAAATTATGAAAAAATAATGAAAGAATATAAGGGTACACCTGCGCACGAATACAAGCGTAAATTACGTCTCTTATAACGTCATGATCTCTTTGTCTGCTTCACTCGCGGGTATTAACATTCAATAATTTTTTTTAAGTGATAGACCACACTTGATTAAGGGACATATTTAAATTTACTACTGTCCGTTTGTTTTTTACTTGTTTTTTTTTTTTAGCAGATTCAAATTTCAGTCGAAATTTTGTCGAAAGATTGTCTTACATTGTAGACAGCAGAGAATACAAATTGTTTGACGTCGTTCGCAATCCAGATTGTTCCCAATTTTCTGCGTTTATCAAAGCGTACTCTACTTCTTACATGCCGTAATGAACTATTTTCGGTACAGAAGAAAAACTCTCATTGAATATTGTGCAATTTAAAAATAACATCTTTATTAAAATCTGGTATGAAATGTCACTTCTGTACTTTTTTTCCCATCTCTGATGTATATAAACAATATCCAACACAATTTATTACATCTCCATGCGCCGATTACGCGTTTGACGACGTCATTTTCAGCATACTCAATTTCAACGATACAATGAAAATCATGACACCAATCGTCTGTTTCTAATGATATTTATTTAAAAGTTTGACATATTATTCAGATTTGGATTTGGTTTCAGTGATTTCAATTTGAGTTTAATGTATTACATAGTACTAAAGAAATGAAAGCAAATGTAATAGTTATATGCTTAAATAGTTCCGAATTTTGTCCGTGTGCCGACAGGCCTAATCGGCCTTCATATAAATCGTCCTAATATTATTTAAATGAAAGATATGTATTTAAAAATTCACGATTTAAAAGAACATTGACTATTTTATGTCTATGCAAAATTTGGTAAGTAACGGTTACATGTTTTGAAAATTATTAACATTGTCTACGACTTTTTGGGACAACCCTCGTAAATCTTTCTGATTACAAGTAATCGTAATTTAATCGATTACTCTGAAAAAAGACCTGTAATCATGATTATTTTGTGATTACTTTATGATTACAATTATTGAATCGAAGTTAATAAACTCATTTTTTTATGATATTTTAAATCAGGGAATTTTTTTCTGCGTACAAATATGTTTATAAGCAAATGTTATCATAAAATCATGAGCTATATTTAATTATATCTTCTTCTTCTTCTAATGCTTCCAGAAATGCTTATACTCATGCAGGTCCATTGTCGAGGCAATGAGTAAATTCTATCAGTTCCTTCATGTAGCTATATCCAATGTTCATTTCAAAATACTGTAGCAGCTAGCTTACAGTTAAAATTACTGTTCGAGTCTTGTGATTTGTGCTTCTTGAATTTTTTTCAATGTATAATATTAATATATATAAAGCACATTTTACATCAACTCTTAAACTAACATAACTGTCCTACGTGAAGAAATATTAATATAGAAAGCACAAAGAAATTCACTTTTACATGGATACCCATTTCATTAATTAATTTCATTACAACATGTATTGGTATCAATCCACTGTTAAAACTAATGTCCAAATAACTGTATCTCACTTCTATTCTCAATGACCGTGTAGTGTAGGGCAGCGCCGCGAGAATTCCTTCGGCATCGAAAGCAAGTTTTTTGATTTGCCTAGATAGCCGAGCGGTAAGCGCGCTGTTCCTGCACTGCTAGGAACATATTATTACCGAAGGTCGAGAGTTTTCAACCCCGGACTGGGACATATGATTAAGTGGGTATCCATGTAAAAGTGAATTTCTTTGTGCTTTCTATATATATATATATGTATATATATATATATATATAAGGCTTCACCCGAGGGTTTGTTCCCGTTTGCACACATTTGAATTACAGGTAATTAAAAAATGTGTTAAAAACAGGAATTTGACCAGGTGAGATAATTACTAAATTGCTATAGTCTATACCATACTTAGTAAGTATGTGAAAGGTGAACTTACAGTTAAAAAATAAGAGAATAAATACAAAGTTAATGTATCTTCATGGCTTGGGTAATATTTTCACATTAATTTTTATTCTCTATTTTCTTTATTATTTGTTATATCTTTAATTCATTTATAATTTTATCAAGATTGAAAAGTATTCTTTTTTAAGAAATTGGACTTAATTAATAAATAATATTAAATATTAATATTTTATTCATACATAAGCTAAATCAGGTATTTACAGGTAAATCCAGGTAATTCCAAACCAGAAATCAGACTATAATTGCTATCAAAACACACTTCACACCTATTGTTCTTACATAATTATCAAATGTGTGCAAAGCGGGAACATACCCACCCGAGTATACCCGATACACCGGACGTATTTCATAGCGGTCCGGACTTCTTTCTTTAATAGTGTTCTTAAAAATTTCCAATTCAACATGTAACTAAGTTTGTAAATATATAGTGTTTAGTAGTTTAGTAGTAGTGCTAGTTGTTTTTGTTACTCTTTTTCCTTTGTTCTTATGACTTTTTATCTTTTTTCTTTGTCCTGAGGAAGGAACAGGGCGTACCGAAAACATTTGACAATTTTTATTGTTCGTTTCGTTGGTCATTTTAAGTGCTTTATATAAATTTCCATCTGTGACCTTGTCTACTTGGAAGATCCGACATTTAGGATATACAGTGTTGTTGGTTTTTTAGTGCTTTATATATATATATATATATATATATATATATATATATATATATATATATATATATATATATATATATATATATAATTATACATTGGAAAAAAATCATAAAAAATAAAATATTAAAATAAAACAAAAAATAATGCATTTATCACGTTAAAAGTCACAATCAGGCAAATTTAAAGTATGATTAAGTCACGAATGTAAATATAAGTAATAAGGTATCATCAGTTGAGTTTTATTGGGATGAAAAACGGGTTGGCACATAATCAAATCTTCGATAAAACCCTTCGGGATTTAAAGGATTAGGATCACGTGACCAACCCGTTTTACATCACAATAAAACTCAAAAAATGATACTTTATTTCTTAAATATATAAGGAGAATTTCAAAAATATCACTAAACGTTTACTGCAAGCGCTTTTGCCATGTTCTGCTCTTCAGGCAGCTATACAAATGTCAGATAGGTTACGAACGTTCGCTCTGCTGAACAGGCCTCTGGTAACGTGAAAAGTATAAAGTTCATTGTGACGTCATAATAGATTAAAGTAGCCTTAAGTTGGCGTATTAGGTAATGTACAAATCTTGCACTAACTTTCACACATTATACAAATGAAATTTCAAAATATAAAACATATAGAATCATTTGCGATTAAGTTTGACACAAGACGAAAGACAACCTATAAGCAATTGCTTAATGGTGGCTTAATGGTGACTTAATGGTGCTTAAAGAAGTTAACTCCATTAAGCCACCATTAAGCCACCATTAAGCTGCAACTTACAGGTGCTTTATGTACAAACTTCATTAAGCTACCATTAAGCCACCTTTAAGCCGAGCTTAATGGTTACTTAATGGTCAATCCTCATTAAACTTTTTTACGCATTTTATATCGAATCTTTGATCTAACTTAAAGTTATTTCAATGTCATTTACGCAAAATGTATTTTTTTTGTGATTTATAATTTTGTCTCGATCGTAATTTTTAAATAACATTTCTGTCAACATTTAAAATCTCGGGCACTGAGAATAAAGTTAGCTTACAGGGGCTTGCTG